AAAGGCGAGTTCATACGCATCGGCGCGGCGTCCGTTTGTCGTTCATCGTTCCGTCAAACCAATGAAATTGAAATATGATCTGTCATTTTTGAAATAAACCAATAAAACTTGTTGAAAACAACAAGAGACGACGCATGACGGATTTATAAAACCAAACCAAACCCATCCATAGTTAACTTAAAAAATATTAGAAACTTTTTTTAGTAAAATCTTTGAATAAGAAGACTAAGTAGAATAAATAGATTGGTATAGGACGTCATCTGCTTTTCTTCTGTCATCGTCTGTCGAAATCTTACCTGAGAAAAAAAAACAGAGTATACTTACTCTGGTAATATCTAGCGCATATTACAATGAAACATAAAGATTCAACAAGTAGACTCTTTCTTTTTTCAACCCCGTGAAGTTTGGAACGGCTAAATTAAAAGCCGTCTGGAGATTTTCGGGCGAGAGACGCGCGTGTTGGCCCGGCGCGGCGTCTTCCATAAAACAAATCAGCGGGTGGCCGACTGGCCGCAGCCGCAGCCGCCTTTATCGTCCGAGTTTCGCATCGCTTTTTCTCACGCACCGTCGCCGCCTCCGACTCCTTTTCGGCGGGGCTTTTTTTGAAGCTGCGGCCACAGATTTACGATGAGTTTTACGAGGATCGGCGACGTAACGAAGAATTTAACCTCAGAGCTAACTAGCGGCTCATTATTAATAATGCTTTAAGAGTAACTGCTTATTTCATTAACTATCGGAAATATTTTCGATAACTGACGGGTTCAGAAGTGAACTGGACCAAGTCCTAGAAGATAATCATGGAGAAAATGAGAGTTAAAGTTTTTAATGTTATTTAATTAAAATAAAACAAGATGAAGAAGAAAACTAGACACAATGCTTTATTATATTTTAAATTGTATAATTGCAAACTAAAGTAACTCAAAATACAACTATGGTTATTTTTAAGAATGTTTGTTTATACTTTTTTGGATTTGAACCATTTTATCTCTGAAAATATTTGAAATTTTAGATATAAATTGGTTCATCGGTACATTCTTCTTCGTCATTTAGGGATTTGTTGATTTCACATTGTCTATTAATAGTGTTTTCTTCGATTTTTATAAAAATTTTGGTATACAGGGTTGTTCACCACATACGACACGGAGTATTGTAGCTAAACGATGAGATTTTTACAAATTGTAAGTCTTGGGTTCGATGAAGGACTATTAGAGGTACAATTTAAAAATAATTTTACAAGATACAGAGTCTCCCAAATAAGTAAAAAATATCAAAGTTTTATTTTTTTAAATGGAACACCCTGTATATTATTGCATTTTTAGTTTCTACGATTAAAATAAAGGTAAATTTGATTAAGGTTTATTATACTTAAACCTTACCGTTTTTGAAATATTTTCAATTTTGTGAAATTGCAGTAAAAATTTTAAGGCTTCATTCCTCCAAGGGTACCAAAGTTTTTAATACTAAATATTTACTGAAGTTTATTTATTGATCAGTTATTGTGTTGCAATAATAAAAATAATACTACCTTATACAGAGTGTCTAAAAATTTATTTTAAATAATTATTAGCTTCAAACGGCAATAACTTGTTTAATTTAAATGGAACACCCTGTATATTTTACGAGAATCAGATGCACAATTTAATTGTCTATCAAATTATACTATACCATTTTTTACCTATCTCTTTAAGTTTCCGTAGAAAATGCATTTTCTTGTAATTTAGAATTTATTTATCAATATACCCATGGAATATTGACATTTTAGATTATTTTTAAAGATGTACCAAATTTTTAAAGAGTACAGATACTAATATTGTGAATATAATTCGTTTATTTCATTAAAAAATAAAAAAAAAATTGTTTAAATATTTGTTAAAGAGGACCAATTAATATGATTCCAGTATTCAAACTACATTAACTGACTGCATTGATTAATAATAATTGTTCCAAATACTAAAAAAACTGAATTTTGTATGAGTATTAGACAGTGTGATAAAAAGTAACACCTTAAAAATGATATTTCATTTTTTAATAAATGCTTATTTATAACAATAGAGACTTTAATTTTGATAACTTATTATTATATTGATTTCTGACTCAAATCCACGTTTATTTAGAATAATTTATTAACAAATACAATTAAGTTTGTAATTAATTAGTATATGGGCGGAAATAATGGTGCTATATTTAATTAATGGTATACTCTTTTATAAAGATTTAAATAGTTTTCTTTTTGCATACAACATTATTGTTTTTAGCAAAACGATAATGTTACTAGAATGTCAATATATGATGTCAATATTCCATAGGTGTCAATAATAAAATGTCAATATTCCATAGGTATATTGATGAATGAGGTCTAAATTATAAGAAAATGCATTTACTACGTAAACCTGAAGGGATAGGTAAAAATGGTATAATACAATTTGATAGACAATTAAATTGTGCATCTGATTCTCCTAAAATATACAGGGCGTTCCATTTAAATTAAACAAGTTATTAGCGTTTAAAGCTATAAATTATTTAAAATAATTTTTTAGACACTCTGTATAAGGTAGTATTATTTTTATTATTGCAACACAATAACTGATCAGTAAATAAACTTCAGTAAATATTTAGTATTAAAAACTTTGATACCCTTGGAGAAATGAAGTCTTAAAATTTTTACTGCAATTTCACAAAATTGAAAATATTTCAAAAACGGTAAGGTTTAAGTGTAATAAACTTTAATCAAATTTACCTTTATTTTAATCGTAGAAACTAAAAATGTAATAATATACAGGGTGTTCTATTTAAAAAAATACAACTTTGATATTTTTTACTTATTTGGGACACTCTGTATCTTGTAAATTATTTTTAAATTGTACCTCTAATAGTCCTTCATCGAACCCAAAACTTGAAATATGTAAAAATATAATCGTTTAGCTACAATACTCCGTGTCGTATGTGGTGAATAACCCTGTATAGATGGCATAAAGGGAAGATCTTTCAGAGTGTGCTACGTTACGTCTATGTGAAATGATAAGATTTTTCTTCCTCGTGCAGTTTTATTCAGATCAACAACATGTCAAATATTTAAGTATTCCTAAGAAAAACAGCCTAACTTATTGATGTAGGAATAGTAAAAATAATGATAAATCAAACTATACTTTCAGAATCGATAGAACCAATCCTTCCAGATGGCTGATAATCTGATTCACTTGGCGCAAATGGTTCAGACTTTTTTTCATTGTCATCCATTTGATCAAAAAAAATATTTTTTAGTTCTAAACTTTAGCACGTCTGTTAAAATCGCGCACAGCGTTAAATTTTATGGAGTTGATCCGGTTCACTTCTGAAAAGAACCAAGAGACCTGCAACCTAACCTAACCTAAACAATCTTTGGATTGTTACTTAAATTAATCACGGGGTCATCTTTTTCGGTGTTACCACTGTATAAAGACTTATAAAGATATGGGAGAATAAAAATACAAAAAAAAACGTAAAAGATATCTTATAGAAAAACGAAGCCCGTCGATATCATTGTACGTATGCATTTCCTCTACACCATTATAGTGTTTGCATACGTATTTACATAACCTACACTTGAAATATACCTATACAGTTTCACTTTCTCACAAGTCTTCGACTTTCATTCACGTCGGGACATTTCATATTATCCTCTTAATAATGAAACGGAGCTTTTTGTTGTAAATAGCGGACATTATGTGGTCGGCGTAGGCAGACGCACGCATACCTACTTGACACAATGCTTAGGATACTTAAACGTGTTGAGCTTACAGCGGTATGTCGAATAATCCAATGTGATCTTTTTTTTTTCTGGTTTGTAACACCTGTATTAGACTAGTAAAAAATGTTCCATATTTCTGTACTAGAGAGAACTGTTATTTAAAAATTTTAGTTTTTGGAGAACTGTTATTTAAAAAGTTTGTTTTTGCAGAACTGTTATTTAGAAATTCCTAAATAACAGTTTTTCTATTTGGACTGTTATATACAAAGCTTAATTTTCGAAGAACTGTTATTTAAAAATTTCTAAATAACAGTTACTCTAATAGAATTATCATTCAGAAATTTCAGTTTTTGGAGAACTGTTATTTGAAAAGTTTATTTTTGCAGAACTGTTATTTAGAAATGTTTAAATAACAGTCTTTCTATTTGAACTGTTATTTACAGAGTTCAATTTTCAAAGAACTGTTATTTAAAAAGTTCTAAATAACACTTACTCTATTAGAACTATTATTAAGAAATTTCAGTTTTTGGAGAACTGTTATTTGAAAAGTTTATTTTTGCAGAACTGTTATTTAGAAATGTCTAAATAACAGTTTTTCTATTTGAACTGTTATTTACAGAGTTTAATTTTCAAAGAACTGTTATTTAAAAATTTCTAAATAACGGTTACTCTATTAGAACTGTTATTTAGAAATTTTAGTTTTTGGAGAACTGTCATTTAAAAAGTTTATTTGTGCAGAACTGTTATTTAGAAATGTCTAAATAACAGTTTTTCTATTTGAACTGTTATTTACAGTTTAGTTTTAAAAGAACTATTATCTAAAAATTTCTAAATAACGGTTACTTTATTAGAACTGTTATTTAGAAATTTTAGTTTTCGGAGAACTGTTATTTAAATAGTTTATTTTTGCAGAACTGTTATTTACAAATGCCTAAATAACAGCGTTTCTATTTGAACTGTTATTTAGAAAGTTTAATTTTCTTGAGGAACTGTTATTTAGAAACTTCTAAATAACACTTACTTTATTAGAACTGTTATTTAGAAATTTTAGCTTGGAGAACTGTTATTTAAAAAGTTTATTTTTGCAGAACTGTTATTTAAAAATTACTAAATAACAATTTTTCTAGTACAAAATGTACTAGATAGTTATTTTGTACAGTTATTTCTAGTATACTAAAAATAACTGTGTTGTGACATCGATGGCTTCTGATCTCAGAACAATCAGAAAACAGAAAGTCAAATCAATCAGAAACTAAAATAAAACACAATAAAATTTCATAACAGTCCAAAAATATTTTATTAGGTTTAAAAAAGAAAAAAAAATCAGTCGCTCTTTTTTCTATTTTTATGATCGCCGCTTGAATATACGTCATTTCTGGACCTTCTTAGTTAAGGAGGTCAGTTTCTGGACGAAGTGTGACGATCGTAACGTCCTACTTGACGAAGGCACTTCGTAACTGCTATCGTCCAGAGGTGAAGTGTATTGTTAGGACTTTTCCGTGGACTTCGTTCGCAAATCGTCTAACAGCATTTTCCTTTCGATTTTATGACCCCTTGCTTCGTTAAAGCCTGAAATAGAAATAGACTTTTCGTTGCAATATATGAAATAATGTATTTTACTAGAAGGAACTATAGTCCCGATTCAACATACCATGAATAAATTGTTCAATGATTTCTTATGATATTCTTATAAAGTAGCTACTTTAACTTACGTCTTATGGCTTCCTCTGGGTCTATTTTTAGTCGGTCTAGCATCCAACTACAGACGAAGTATCCAGTCCTATTCAGGCCGTGGGTACAGTGAACACCAATTAGTGCATCTGAAAATAATAATGCATGAATTAATACCTTATAACTTTCAGTATCGTATATCATTTTTTTTTTAATTTTGGAAACAGATTAACAAAAAAAATAATGCTAAATAACAAAGAAATGGTTATTTTTTATACAAGACCATAAAATGGTATTTTATCGTCGACCGAAAAGATTAATTTAAAAATTAATTTCGTAAGACGATAATGCAATAATTTTATCGTCGTGTATAAAACAATATTTTTTTCCATAGCGAGTTACGTTTTAAAAAATATTCAGAAATTATTATTTCAAGGAATTTATTACGAGTAGAAAAATATTGTGCTGGGTTGGCGTTGGTTTCTATGTAATTTGACAAATAAATAAAGCTGTCTCTTTAGTTGTAGCTTTTTAGTCAATATTTTTTAATTCTCTTTCGTGTCGATTGATGATTGAATTGGAGCTACAGTACCTCTGTTCGTTCTGTAGCTACGGGGTATCCGTGAGAGGGGAAACGATATTCTCTCGATGTTTTTCGTAAAAAAATAGACGACGCGTCCAATCAATAAAAATTCAACAAATTTGCAAGTGGCCAATAAAATGAGTGGGCGGAGCGCTTTGCGGTGACGTACTCGTTAAGTTGACGTATAAAATAAATTGCTGTTTATTTAAATATTTTTTGTCCGCATTCCTTTCATAGACACAGATCCAGCAGACGTACTGTAGAAATGGCTCAAAACGAAATAAGTAAATTACCAACAGATATTCAGGCTGAGGCGACAAACGCCATATCCAAACTATAGTCTGTCCAACGAGAAGATCCTTAACAGTGATAGATGTGTCTGTCATTTTAATTTCAAAGTAGTTTATTTTATTTTACAAAGAAATAAGTTGGTACAACTGGAACGCATATCAGGAAATATTTAAAATTTGATTGACAAGATGACAAGTGATTACTTCAAAATATTGTGAAAAAAACTGTATAAAACTGAAAAAATGTAATCGAGTTATTTTATTTAATGAAAACGGTATGTGTTAATACAAAACAAACAAGAACAAGACACTACGTACCAAAAAAATATAAAAAAGAACTATTTTTTACTTTCAAGCTTTATGAAACTACCCGCATTTATGATTATATTTATCAATATAACTTATGTGCAAATACAAATTTGTAATATTCCACAGGAATAAATAAAACAACATAGGTAAATAAAACAAACTATTTTATTAATAATAACACCTACCAAATTTTATACCTTAAAGGTTGATTAACTTTAATCTTAATTTTTTTAAACCAGTACCTTTTGACATTATTTTTCTGCAGTACTAAAATCCATTATTTACCTATCGTGTGATGTCGATATTTTACAGCTACTCCAGTTTTTAGTATGTGTTTAGTTTGATCCTTCTACCATATACGAGATGCACTTATCTACGACGAGATGGTATACAAACTTTAACGATGGCAACTTCATTGGTGTATAAGACTTTCTGCCTGGGCAGCGAGTATTAACCATAAACTGTGCTCTGGGTCTACAGTTAATTTTCACTCGATTTTTCCTCCACTTGACTTCAAAAGACACAAAACACACGTAATAATACGAATCAAAATGCATCATCTTCCAAAACGCAGGGTATTTAACAAAAGTTGACACAAAATTATAACCTATAATTTGGGAAGACTTTGACATGCGTCAAAAATGACAAAATCTAAAGGCGAGTTCATACGCATCGGCGCCCTTTTGTCGTTCATCGTTCCGTCAAACCAATAAAATTGAAATACGATCTGTCATTTTTTAAATAAACCAATAAAACTAGTTAAAAACAACAAAATGACGACGCATGACGGATTTATATTTAAACCCATCCATAGATAACTTAAAAATTATTAGAAACTTTTTTTAGTAAAATAAATAGATTGGTATGGGACGTCACCTGCTTTTCTTCTTTCATCGTCTGTCGAAATCTTACCTGAGAAAAAAAACAGAGTATACTTCCATTTAAATCCCGAATAACTTATGAAAAGGAATACAAAAAAAATCAAAAATGGAAGCAATTAAAAAACGTGCGAGAAGAAATAAAGTTTTTAACCTATCCTCGCAGTTAAAGTATCATTTAATCTACCCTTGCGGTTAAAGTACTATTTTATCTACTATTTTTGATAGATATAAGGCAATTTTGACAGTTGCTATGGTAAAAAACAGATATGATCTTAGTAGGGAACCATGAGTAAACTGAATTGTTCTGCACTCCTTATTATAAAGGAATCTTCCTATGACGATTAGTAGAAGACTACTACTACTACTATTAGTAGTCTTCTTTAGTAGTGTTCTGATAAGCAGACATAGAGACAGACAAAGCTGTAGTGGGTCTATTAACAAGGCATTGTAAGCTGATTATGCATCTAAAGCTGATAGGAATTTACTGTCCTCAATTCACGCAGTTGTGCAGCTCTGAACTGTTCAAGAACGCGATACTCTCACTCCATTCAATTGAGTCATAAAGTTCAGAACTGTTCCGCGTCATATGGATGCACCAGGCTATCGCGCACAGCTCCTTTTAGAACCGTTCTTGAGTAGCCCAGGGCGTAAAACTCTGGAATTTGAAATTCGCGAATGGAGGACAGCAATTGGCGACAGAAGAAACGACAGAACACATTTTCTGAGGCTAAGGGAATCTAAACTATGTCATCTACAAGTATTATCCCCTTAAAATAAGACTATTACAAACATTTAAAAATAACTCCAACGGGTTTAAATGCAGTTCCCAGGTGATAAGACAAGTCAAAGCACAGCCACAACGACAATAAATCGTCTACCTTCGAACAACAATTTGTTATTCAAAGACAGCAACCGAACAAATCGGTCACAACGTCCAATATAATCGAATTACGCAACGAGCAAAGAACAGACAAACGAAGACCATCATCGCAAGGAGCAGCGGCAGCATCGTCGTCTAAATTTATTCGATTTAAATTGACAGACGCACGAACTTATTGTAAATGACGTGGCGCTTCTTGCGATCGGAGATGGATTGACGGCGTAAATGGTCGGTGGTGGGTCGACAAATAATAACGGCTATTGAGCGGTAATAAATGCGGTAGTAACTGACGTGAAATGGACACCCCGTCGCGGCGAACGGCTTTTGATATCGGAAAATCGGCCGATCGATGATTTGTCGAAGGAGCATCGGCGAGTCGATGGAGAACAAAACGATTTGGGAGGTTCGTTTGTAGTTCTTGAAGACATCGATTATGGTTTGTTGGCCTTGAGTAAAAAAAGTACATTTTTTAAAGATTACTGTTCTATTTTTCTATTTGAAGAAGAATAATCGAGATTTAGAGCTGGGAGATCCTGCACTGATAATGTATTCTGTTTGAAACTTTTCATAGAAAAGAAAATAGCTACCCAAGTAGCAAATTTTATTTTATAAAGGTTGTATAAACAGCTATGTGATAATTTTTATAGGATACCTCAATTCATATAACAACGTGCTATACCGTAATATGATAGCTTTACAACCAAAAAAGGCCCATTTTTATACAACCGTTTAGTAGTATAGAAGTTCTATAAAAAGGGTATACAACTCTTATGCAACTATTTTACACAGCATTATATGACTATTATAAAACTAGTTTTATTGTGTATTACGTGGTCACATCTAAGAAACAGAACAATAAAAACATTTTGATCATTTGGCGAGGTACACAAGAGTATTTTATTTTTACCGAAGAATATTAGGAGCAAATTATATTTTAAGTGTGTCATTAAAAATGAATCTATAGAGGATGTGGATTGTTAAAAAAGGAGACTTTGCTCTCTACAATGAAAAATGGCAGGTAGAGCCAGAAGGTACAACAAATATGTAATATAAAAAATCATTAATAGGGTTTAAAAAGTAGGGACAATTTTTGTTGCGCCGGTGTAAATTTTACTGGTAGATTACAGGTATGTATTTGGAAAAGAAGCGCTTTTAATTCTCGATTAAAGGTTGCATATAAATTTAAGCAATAAAATAAAAATAAAATTTTCAAAATTCTTGTTTTTAATTTAATTAAACACTTTATTACTGTATGTGGGAATCTTATCACAAAATAGTTCTCAAAAATAACATTTTACAATGTATTTTGATGTTTTTAATTTTGCTTCATATAATGGCGGCCATAGGCCATACAAAAATTCTGCCTTAAACATGGCGAATTATAATGCAACCATTTTATTATAAATGAATTCCTTAAATAAGTCTTTGTTGTAAAATAAAACGGCATAGGATAAATAACTATCATTACGCAGAATTTCCAGGCACTATAGAACTATTTTGGACATATTGAGATTTGAGACAAATAGATGTTGCCAAATCTCATTTGATTAGTATTTAAACTAACAAACATGATCAGATTTTCATGGATTCATGCACGCAATGCATTTCATGCGTGCCCGACGAGTGAGCGGCAACTTAAGGACTTGGAAAAACAACAATAAAACAATACAAACATTACTACAGTAAAACTTTTACACCAACGTGGCAACAATGCTTTGAAGAAGCCAGACAACCCGAGAGATTTTGGCTTTTGAGAACCCAGGGGATTCTCGGTATTATTGCCGTAATTTCGAGGAGTTTTTTCTTACATGCTCTTTATAACTACCACTGCGTTTGTTAAGTTTTTTCTAACTTTGTCCAGAATTCATAATAGCTGTGATTGATTATACTCGTACGTAGATATTACTTTTGCAACAACAACAATAACAAAATAAATAACTAGTTATACCATTTAAATTAAAATGAGGTTATATTATACATTACCAGTTTTATAATGCAGATATTACAGCGAATTTATTGTGTTAATCACAATTTTATCATATAAGGCTATATAACTGTGTTCTATACAGCACCGTAGTTTAACGCAATAAAACGTTCTATCATACAACGTAATACAACTTTAATAAGACAAGTTTAAGTAACTATTATATGATCTTGTGACTACTAGTTATATGAATATTATAGAACTCTTACATGGTGGGTATAA